TAAGACAATAATAAGATAGTAATATAATAATAAGATACATCTTTATTGGCCAGATCCTGGCACATTTTTTTGGTGTTTCACCACGTGTACACACTCACACATACACACACACACACATACACACACACACACACACACACATGCACACACACTCGCAGGCTTACAATAACATGCATAATATAAATGAGCAGCAATATAAACAATAATAATCTTGATTAAGCTAGATACATACTCAATGTTATTCTGATGCATGCTGAAAGGTCATATGAATACTTATTATACTTGAATGAGGTGATTATACTGTCTGATAAGTTGTTTGACTCGTACCAAAAAAACCAACAAAAAACTACAAACTGTCGCTTTTAAGGACAAGCGGGCTAACCCAGATATGTTTTTTTTTCCAGAAATCTTGACCTACCCCAAAACTAGGCATTGCCCTGCCAATAGGAGAAGTTTGGTTTCAGTGGCATGTATATTTGTTTAGTTATAGAGAAAACTCTTCTTGTCTTTTAAAGAAACTGAACAAGGGGCAAAAGCTTTACCTTGAGTTTTCTCAAAACAGCATTTTTCGGGATAGTCCCCTTGTGCTTAAAAGCGACCCAATGTGTTGAAAGCTTGGTGTCAGTTTGTCTTTCACGCTGTTCATTGTGAAGCGTGCTGACAAAATGAATTACTTCTCGGGTTCGAGCCCTCTGAAAATAGATACATCACGTTTACAGATGAAGTTTTTACAATTTATAACTATGAAATAATGAAAGGCATGTTATGTTTAAAAAAGATGGCATCAATAGAAAATCTACAAATTTTGACCTTAGAGTTGATTTTTGGCCAATTTCTCCATTTGGGGATTGCAAGAAGTAACTCATTTTGTCAGCACACCCCACAATTGTTGTTGCTGGCTGTTTTAACAGTTGTCGGAGCTCACACAACTCTAGCTCGTCTGCTACCATTCCCCTCCCAAGTTTTGCCTTTTTTCTCGTCTCGCTCACTCACACGCACGCGTTGTGGTTCCTGGCTGGTGTTTTATTTCTTGTGTCATAAGTAGAAGTAGGTCACATGGCACTAGGGGTTTCTCGGGGGTTCTGATTATGCCTGGTTGTTAAAATGATTGTATCAGCCACTTGTGGAGTTGGTCATATTTCAAGGGAAAATAGTGAGTGGCTGTGAGCGAGTGCAAGGACATACCGTAAGCGACTTATAAGCCAATCAGTCACTTTATGTTTCAAATGGATGGCCTGTACTACCCATTTGTGTGGAATGTTTTCATGAAAACCTTTCCCTTTTTGGGGGGGTATTTTTGTACACTTCTAATATTTTATGCTTTTGAGACTCATTTGTGGTCCTGCTTATGTAGCTAATGGTAGTGAGTGGTAGCAAATAGTAGCACATGGTAGCACATGGCAGCAAATGGTAGCAAATGGTAGCACATGGCAGCAAATGGTAGCACATGGCAGCAAATGGTAGCAAATGGTAGCAAATGGTAGCAAATGGTAGCAAATAACTGTAGTTAGGGCCAGAAAATGGTAGCAATTTTTGAGCAAATGGTAGGAAATGGGGAGCAAATGGTAGCAAATAGATGTTCATCCTTTTTCTTCCTTTTCTTTCTTCCATCCTTCATCTTTCCATCCTTCTTTTTTGCCATCCATTTTCTTTCCATCTGCATTCTTTTTAACTTCTTTTCTTCTTCTCAGCTTTCTATTTTGTTTTTTTTATTAACTGCCAAGTTGTCCATATTCTGAATTTCTTTGTGGTGCTTTATTTGTGTACAGAAACAAAAGCTGTAAGTGTGTGTGTCTGTGTGTCTGTGTGTGTGTGTGTGTGTGTGTGTATGTGTGTGTGTGTGTGTGTGTGTGTGTTATCCCTTCCTCTTGAGAAGAAGACAATTGTTAATCGGCAAGCCGTTCTACTGTTTTAAGCCCAGAAAGCAGAAGTTTTCAGGAGAGGCTAATTTTAACGTAAATTTGTAACCTTTGAACCTGACTATTAAACGAAATCAAGCCATGCTGTAAACTGTTGTGAATGCAACCAACTTGTGTTTTTCGCGCTCATATGAACTTACGCAGTTGCGAGCGCCGTAAAACTCTTACTAAACTAAGGTAGGAGGGTAAAATCAGTGTGTGTGTGCTGGAATACTCTTAAAACTAAATCTTGGAGCTTACGACATGTGAACAGCTAGCCGATGAAATGCTTACTGGCAAAGATAGGCTACTGTGTTATAAATTTCATCTACAGCATATCTTCTGTCGTAGTCTAACAGTATAAGCACCAAAAATATTACTCAAACAATTTTTATTGGCTTAACGCTTTGCGGTCATTTGACGCAATAACCTGGCGTTGAAAATTATCCGTTCCGTACTGCGCCAGGCCTGAGACGTCCGTTGCAGTCACTCTCCTGGCTGGGTGACCAGATGGCGGTATTTTGTACTGCTGGCTGTGTGACTGCAAAGTATTGAATTTCTCAAACTATTTTTTTGGGCTTAAAAGACAAAGAAATGTCTCTTACACAAGATGATAGTGTTCAGAGTGATGCCAAAAAAGCTTTGCCCTGAGACATAAACCACTGTATAAGAAGAGCGTTGAATATAGTTAACTCGTTTTGTTGGTGGTTCTTACACAAGATGACATTCACAGTGATGCTAAAGCTTTGCCCTGACAAGAAAATCACCGCGCAGGAATAATAATAATAAATAGCATTTGTATAGCGCATATCCCCGCTCAACAGCAGGCTCTATGCGCTTTACACTATAGTAAAAAAAAAATTTCTTCTTTTTTTGTTTTTGTTCTTCTGTCTATTGTGCTTGCTTTTTTTCCTCTTATGTTAAAGAAGAGCGTTGGATATACTCAACTCATTTTGGTGGGGGGTTTTTGTCTGTTCTGTAAAATTTACCTGTCGGTACTTGTGCGGTTAGACTACGACAGGAACCATATGATTTTATTGACATATTTTGCTCTGTACTTTATCATTGAAGTCAGGTTCTTTGATGATCTAGTTGGATGTATGTTATGTATTTTTCATGAACCAGCTGATGAAAGAGCTTCGTCAGTTGGACAGCCATCATTTATTGTTTTTGAAATCCTAATATGGGCACTGGAGATTGATTGCGTTATTTTATGAATAAATTTGTTTCTAAGTTTTTAAAATTGTATTTGATTTCTTTGATTCTGTTCTAGTTTTGTCTGCGAGTGGGTGGAGGGCACCACTGGTAGTACCTTTTTCTTTTGTTTTCTTCCTTTTTTTCTTCTGTCTATTGTGCTTGCTTTTTTTCCTTCTGCGTTAAATAGCCATTGTTATTTTGATGTGCATATGTTTCAATAGATATAAAATAATGTCAAGTAGAATCACACATAATTATTTATTTGTAAAAATGTATGAATTAATCGATTTTTGTAAATTGTAAATCATGATGTTGTTTGATGAAACTGTATAGATATACATATATATATATATATACATATTGAAATATTCAGTGCCGTGATTGGATGATTGCCTGTGTCATGTACCATCCCTTGCCTCATCTTGTACTTTACTCTCTAGTAACATCTGGAATCTTCCGCACTTATGTGACCTATTTATGTTGCAAGCGCCGTAAAACTGTTACTGAGTAAGTCTGATTCCCTGTAAGAACTTCTCTGTTGACATCCACCCCTTGGCGCTCATATGACCTCATGCAGTTGCGAGGGCCGTAAAACCTCTACTAAAACTATTTTCAAAAACTGTTACTACTAATACTGAAGTAAAGTATCACTGCTGCCCCCTCAGGATTTCTTTTCATGCCTTGTCAAAGTCTATTTCTAGCTGACTGCACCGACACTGGAGGGATAACACTAACAGATTGCCTCTTTACTGTTGCGTGCTGAAGGTGGGAGTTCGATTCCTGTGCGGGGAAGATTTGTATCAAACATCTCCCGTTTGTCGGCTGAGATTTTGTGACTCACTCACTCAGAGTTGGTCGCCCCAGGAAGGCAGGGTCAAAACAGCGTAAGTGGAAATATATAGGCGTATGTAAAGTTGGCTCTAATTTTGGGGGGAGAAATATAGGAGTAAAGTTGGCTCTAATTTTGGGGGGAGAAATATAGGAGTAAAGTTGGCTCTAATTTTGGGGGGAGAAAAATAGGAGTAAAGTTGGCTCTAATTTTGGGGGGAGAAATATAGGAGTAAAGTTGGCGCTGATTTTGAGAGTCGAAATATGTGCGTGACATCGGCACTGATTTTTGGGAGGGAAAATATACGTGTAAAATCGGCACTGATTTTGGAGTGGACAGTGTGGTGTAGGTAGCTATATTTTAAAAATAATTTCTTTCCTTTAAAATTGTACAATGTGTTTTGTGCACTTGTAAATTTTGTATATAAAGAAAATTTGGGACTGAAATTTTTGCTTCTAAATTTTTAATCTGACCATTGAATAGACCACACCAGAGCACCTGCCAACCACCCACAGCGCACACACACACACACACACACACCCCCCCCCCCCCTCCCCTTTTCAAGAAAGAAAAACTTTTTAAAAGATTTGTTTTAATGTAGCGGTAAGGCTCATCGCATTCAATTTCTGAGTGGGGAAAAATTTTTAGCCAAATTTTTATCAATTGTCTTGGTATTTCTGCTGGGATGTTGCATCCTTCTCAGCCCAGGTTGGCCCTGACAGACAGAGTCAGAAGCCCGCCTCTTAAATGACCTAAATTGGGTTGATGGAGAAGTAAATACTCCTACATTTTTTTCTTTCAAGATCTACTTATTTGCTATGAAAATGTAAATTATCTCTGAGTCTTATGTTGTGGTGAAAACATAATTGCTCCAACATTTTTATCTTTCAAAATCTACTTTTTCGGTATGAAAATGTGAATTCTTTCTTATTATTTTCCGGTATTGCTCAAAAATTTGTGCAGAATGTTCTTTTAACTTCTCACCAATTTCATCACCATTTGTATCGCCAAATTGTATCATCAGTTGGATCACCAATTGTAATGACAGTTGAAAGTAACATTGTAATTTCAGACGAAAGAAAGTGTTTGACCTCATTTTGACGGACACGTAATAGGCCTATGGGTAAGAGTTGGACAGTGATGTATGGTACTCCTGGGATGCCAAATCTCTGCTTTTTCCTGCTTTTTCAGGTGGGGGTTTTTTTTTCAAAAATCATTTGGCATCCCTGAAGAAGAAGGCCACTGACATAAGGTCCTTCTTCTCAAGACAGATATAATATTACTGGAATTGGTGAAACTAAAGTCTCCCATACCCTTGTAAAGGAAAGGGGGGAGGTAAGAGAGATGTTTTTGTGTGCTCATTTGAAAACTTGACAAGGTTTGTGTCAGGTGAGATGTGATGCTCCGCTCATTTGAAAACTTGACAAGGTTTGTGTTAGGTGAGATGTGATGCTCCGCTCATTTGAAAACTTGACAAGGTTTGTGTTAGGTGAGATGTGATGCTCCGCTCATTTGAAAACTTGACAAGGTTTGTGTTAGGTGAGATGTGATGCTCCCCTCATTTTCAGGGTTATTTTTCAAAAATCGTTTGGCATCCCTGGGTACTGAAAGTGAAAGTGACGTCATTGCGTCTGGTGCCTTCTTGTTGAGGTCTCTCATTGTTGCTGTCTTGTAGGCCTGTATTTAGTTTTGTTATTATTATTATTATTACTATTATTATTATTATTTATCATTATTATTATTATTATTGTTACGGATTCTCATTATGCATTAAATGTTTTTTTTGGTTTTTGTTGTTATTATTATAGTTTCACTTTTGTCGTTGTGCTGGGTTTTTAAAAATTAAAGATTAATTTTTCTATTATTTGTTCATCTTTTATTTATGTTGTTAATGTTACTTTTCGGTATTGCTATTTGTCCATTTGTATTAATTAAATAAGTGGTTAATGTTATTTTACTTAAATTGCTTTTCTTATTGTTCCTATCAAGCTGCTAATGTTATTTCTTTTGCTATTGTTATACTTTTAATTGTAGTTGTAGATATTGTTATTGTCACATTTTCATTGTTATCATTTACATATATAAAGTATTATATGTTTCTTCATTATTTTTTAGTGTTATCATTATAATATATGTATCCGTGTTAATTTATTATTGATCAGTACACATGAGGTGCAACGCGATTTTGCGAAGAAAACGTTACTATTTGTATAAGCCCCGGGGATATTTTGTTGTATTACATAATGCTCTCTGCCTGACTCCTAAAATGACCCAATTTGTTGAAAGTGGTGCAAAACATTTCCCTAAACAAAAACAAAAAACAATTCTCTGTTATCATTCCAGGACCCGGCTGTGTTCTTCTTCTGGATGAAAAGTACACCCCCCACCCCCTCCCCCCACTCGCGTGTCTGTGGTGTAGCGGTTAGGCCATTCACTGATGCACGCAGAAGATACAAGTTCAAATCCAGAGTGGGAAAGTTTTTAATTATTTCCGTCTGTCTGCTGGGATGTAATGTTACACTCAGCGGGCGGGCGGGCGGGGGTGGGGGGTGTGTGGTCTTGACAAGAGTGGTGGAGACAGCCTGACTTTTTAATGATCTGAATTGTGCGGATGGGGGGAGTTAAATATTCACAGTATGATGTTTCCCCCCCCCCCCCCCCCTCTTTGAAAGACTGTTCTCTATTTTATTTCCTTCTCAGCTCATCTTAATTGCACTGATGGGGGCGTCGTAAAAACGCCTTCATTTTAAAAAAAAACAACACATTTTTTAAAAGATACACTTGCCCCTCTGTCCTGTTGGAGAGATGGCGTTCAAGTCGAAAACTTGCCACATGAAAATATCCTTCCAGTATTTACAAAATAGACTGTTCTCTATTTTATTTCCTTCTCAGCCCATCTAAATTGCACAGATGGGGGCATCAAACGTCCTTCATTAAAAAATTGTTAAAACTTTTTTTAAAGATCTAGGTACCTACTTGCCTCTGTCCTGTTGGAGAGGTGGCGTTCAAGTCGAAAACTTGCCACATGAAAATAGCCTTCCAGTATTTAAAAAATGCTCACAGTCACCAAAGATACAGATTAGCCGACGATGGACTTTGAGAAAGTTAAAGGCCCTTCGCCTTCTGCACTAGTGACAGGTTGGCACCGCTCTCTGCGTTCATGTCAACTGAACGACGACACGTTTTGTGGAATGAATATTTCAACTTGTGCTCAATTTCCTCATGTAATTCTACTACACTTTACCTCCCCTGTTAAAAGAATTCACATTTTAGCTTGGGTTTTTTTTTGTGACAATTTTTTTTTTTATTAATGATTTTTTTTTAGGGGGGGGTTGTCATGTTAGTGTCTGAATGTCTGTAAATGTGGAGTGGCAGCATGCACTGGATGCTTCCATGGAAGCTGAGAATGTTTCTGAAAGTTCTTAAGTCTGTCGGAGTAATGGTAAATTGTAAATGTACATAACATAGAGGTTGCTGTTAAGTTAGAAGGATACGCGCTGTGTAAATACAAACATTCTACTGGTTATTATAAACGTCTAGCCCATTATTATTTTAGAGATCTTAAAATTTTTCCAGTGGGCCGTTGGCGGAAACTTTTTTTTTTTGCCCCCCCAAATTTTACCTCTTTAGGTGGGTCACTGGTGGAGGGTACTCTGGTATGGTTTGCTCCAACTTTCTTACTTCTTTCCTATCAAACATCTGTCATTCTTGTAATTCTTCTCCTACTTTTTTGTATGTTACTCTCTAGTAGTAACACATCTAATCTTCTGCACGTTAATTGGTGTTGTAAGTGCCTTAAAACCCTTTCCAAAACTAAAAACAAAATTTTGCCCGAGTTTCTCACTTCCCGGAAACGCTGTTTTCTCATAAGGCAGCTGCCGGTGACTGCGTTAGCAGGTTCCTTCCCTGTCCTGTGCTGGTATCATTTTTGTCGTTGTTGTTGTTGCTTTCAGGCGGAAAAAGGATGTACAACATGATGACCAGTTAGACGCTCAAAGACCCCTCTTGAAAAACGTAACAAATACCGACTGTGGAGTCTGATGGCATAATAATGGTAGGCCTAGTAATAATGCTCCATGCGCACCCATTGCATTCTGAAGGTAAACTTTAGTTTTACATTTTCTAGTTTGTTATTTTTGTTGCTGTTGATGATTCGATTTTTGTCTTTGATTCCGTATTCAGATGAGCAGGTTTTGCTCCAGTTTCATTTTTTTAGTTTTAGTTACATCCAAGTCTTTCTCATCACATATATATATATATACACACACTTATGCTCAATAAAGAAATATAATTCTTTAGGTTAAAACAAATAGAAATTACTTTTAGTACTTTAAACACTGTGCACTCCGAGTGCTTGGAAGGCGATTTTTGCAACAACAACAAAAAAACCCATGCTTTTAGTTTTCTTGACTTGCTGTTCGTGGTTTTGATCATATCATGTATTATATATATAATATTGTCAGCCAGCTGCTAAAACGTGTTTGGCACAAAATTTGGAAAATTATTTCAAAAGCATATTCTTAGTCTGTGATATCGTTCGCAAATATGCTTGAGAAATATTTTGTCGAAATTCAAATTCTTTAAATGTTGGAAAAAATCCAGGAAAATGTACTTTTACTAATGTAATTGTTCAAAGACTGGCAAACATTTTTGTTATCTCTCCTGGAAAGTTTTGTTTTCGAGGTTTAGTACTTTTGGGCAGTTGGCGGAAGGTGCAAAAGACCAGGATGATCTCATTTTGATCAACTAACTTTGGTTACATTTCCCCTCGATGACGATACAAAAGATGGAGATGATCTCATTTGGGCAGTTTGCCAATGGTACAAAAGATCCGGAATATGTCATTTTGATGGACTAACTTTGGTTACATTACTCTTTGGTTGGGTGTTTTGCTTACTTGTAATATGAATGAGGCACACATGGTGCATTTTCCATACAACGGTGGCACTTACATGACCAAAATTGAGTTGATAGTGCACTAAAACACCTACTCAATCAATCAATCAAACCATGCAACGGCTTAAAGCCAGTCAAACCTGCCTTCTCTCTTTCAATACTTGCATTTTTTCAGTCAAAAATAGTTTGGCAGAAATGAATAAATCTTAGTTTCGTTTCACTTTCGTGGGGGTATTGTTTTAGTACGGAGTACTAATAGTGCAGGTTTTTAAAAAAAGAAAATACATAGAAAAGGTGATTATATCTATAGGTAGCGTTAACTTTCTGTGTTAGTTTATAATGGAAGTTCCAAATTTTAATGTAGGACCTACATATGGGCGGAGCGTTTGGAACAAAGACACCGATGAGCGTGTATGATGACCCTTCTGGGGGGCAATTTGCTGCTTAATGCAACATTTTATGTTATTTCACTAAATTATAGAAAATACCCCAAGCCAAAATTTGGAATGCAAGGAATGAAGTTTTTAGTTTCACTATTGATTGACCCAACTAACTAGGAAATAATCTTGAGCACTTTCATTTTTAAAATCAAGCTAAAACTAGATAGACCATGGAATTTCCAACACAATGATGTAGGCCTATCTATTCATTATATTGATGTATGCTTTGGAAGTGATTTTCTTTGTATTATTTTTGTAAAGTTTGCGAAAATGTTTAATTATCACATGAGGATTTCTAATCAATATAACTGCATGCATTGTTATTTCCTGTTTATCTTGAGACATTTTAATGCGCAACATTGATCTATTTCTTGATTTGTGTTGGTGTTTCTGATAATTTCTTCTGGGCTTTAAAGTTTGCCTCAGTATCACATTTACCGCTCTGGACAAAAAAATAATAAATGTGGATATACCGTTTATATATTTAGGCGTCAAGACTATTTATGTCAATGATGTGGAATGATTGAAGTCCCTGAAAAAAAAATTTGATTTTGTTATCTGTACACAGGACTCTGTCTTTGTTTGTTAGTGTAGTGTGAGTGTGTAGTTTAGTTAGTGTGAGTGTGTAGTTTAGTTAGTGTGAGTGTGTAGTTTAGTCCTAGTACGAGTTGTGCATGTGTTTATTAAGTTTTCGTAAAAGTTTTACGTGTTTAGTTAAGTTTTCGTAGAGTTTTATGTGTTAAAATAAGTGTAAGTAAGAGTTTTTAAAAAAACCCAACAACAACGAAACAAACAAAACATTTGGACCTCTGATGCTGGCACATCACTAAAACCAGGGACCCCTGTCAAACATGAAACATCAGCAGACATGAGGATAGCTTTTACTTTTGATGGATTGAAAAATTGAACATGCTCAAGGAACAAAAATCCCGAACAAGGGAAAGGACCACCTTGTCACCTAAATGAGAATTATTACTCTGATTACTTCCCTTTTAGTCACACTGCGAGCTGTTTACAATTAGATTGTTTTGTGAAAAATGAAAAAAAAAAAAACCCTGAAAAAACGCGGGGAATGCAAATGTTGCAGAATTATGCGAAAAAACACGGCCGCACAATCGCTTAATCGGACGGGGACAGATAAGACATTTACGTGTTTCGTTAAGTTTTAGTTAGGAAGAGTTTTTTACAGCCTTTGCAACACACATAGATCATAATATATAAGCGCCAAAGTTTATAGGTTTGGGGAGAGAGAGAGAGAGAGAGAGAGAGAGAGAGAGAGAGAGAGAGAGAGAGAGAGAGAGAGAGAGAGAGAGAAGGAAGAGAGAGAGAGAGAGAGAGAGAGAGTGGACAAGGAAGACAAACAACAGGAAGGGGTGGAGGTACCATGACTGTCAAAGTCTGCTCCAGAATGGACACCTGGAGATTTATACAGATTTCAACAAAAGTTAAGTGAGGGGGGGGGGAGGGGGCTACACCCCAAAGTCCCAATTCGGCTCCAAATTATAGAATCTGAGTTGTAGGCATTTTTAGCTTCCTCAGCCTCTCCTACAACTATACATAAGAACCCCCCAAAACCGTATTTTTTCCCTTACCGGGCATGTTTGTCACCACCATTTCCTCATGAAGTCAATATTTTCTTTTTCTTTATCGGTCTTTTTCTCAAAACGCGACTTTTCTTTATGTTTTTTGTTTTTGTAACGTGTTTTACGGCGCTCGCAACTGCATAAGGTCA